ACTGAGCGCCAATGGGAAAGTATGTGTTGCACTTGGTGTTTTAAAATATGCCATCTCAAGTAATCCTCGCACCCCTATGAGATCAACAGTAACTTTGCATATTTTTTATTTCCACTTTAAAGAAAATTAAAATTCAAAGCAGAAAACAATTTTCTGAAGATCCTATAACTAGCAAATATGAGCTAAAGTTGTCTGTTTTGACTTCAAAGCTCTCTCCACTCAGAAATGCAGCAGGATCCCCCAAACTTGGCTGACCATCAGAATCATCAGGGAAAGTCTAGGGAAAAAAAAGGGAAGATTCCTCTTTCCTATATACCTGCAATGAATAAGTGGAAACAAATTAAAAACATAATATCCTTTACATTAGCACAAAAAATGAAATGTGTATAAATCTAACAAAATATACGCAAGACTTATATGAGGAAAACTACATAACCCTGACAAAAAAATCGAAGAACTAAATAAGTGGATATTTCACGTCATGAATAGGATAGGAAGACCCAATATCGTCAAGATGTCAGTTTTTCCCAATTTGATATATAGATTCAGCAAAATTCCAATTAAAATCCCAGAAAGTTATGTTGTAGATATTGACAAACTGATTCTAAAGTTTATATGGAGAGGCAAAAGACCCAGAATAGCCAACACAATATTGAAAGAGAGGAGTAAAGTTGGAGGACTGACCCTACTCGACTCCAAGACTTACTGTAAAGCTACAGCAATGAAGACAGTGTAGGACTGGTGAAAGAACAAATAGCTCAAAGCAAAGGATAGAGAGCCCAGAAATAGGCACACATAAACAAAGCCAACTGACCTTTGACAGCACAGTAAGGGCAATATAACTGAGCAAAGATAGTTTTTTCAACAAATGGTGCTGGAACAACTGGACATCTACATGCAAAAAAAAAAAAAATGAATCTAGACACAGACCTTACACCTTTCACAAAAATTAACTCAAAATTGATCACAGACCTAAATGTGAAACACAAAACTGCAAAACTCCTAGATGATAACATAGAGGAATACATAGGTAATCTTGGGAAAGGAGATGACTTTTTAGATACAATACTAAAGGCACAATCCATGAAAGAAATAATGATCAGCTGGACTTCATTAATTAAAATTTTCTAATCTACAAAAAATATTGTCAAGAGAATGAAAAGACAAGCCATGAACTGGAGGAAAATATTTGCACAGTACACATCTAATGAAGGAGTTTTACCCAAACGATACAAAGAACTATTACAACTCAACAATAAGAAAACAAAAGACCTGATTAAAAACTGGACCAAAGACATTAAAAGACATCTCACCAAAAAAGATATGCAGATAGCAAATAAGCATATGAAAAGATACCCCACATCATATGCCATCAGGGAGATGCAAATTAAAATAAGAACTCAATTCCATTACACATCTATTAGAAGGGCCAAACTTCAGGACACTGACAACACCAAATGCTGGTGAGGACGTGGAGCTGGTAGGAATGCAAAATGGTTCAGCCACTTTGGAAGATAGTTTGACAGTTTCTTACAAAACTAAGCATACCTATACCATGCAATCCATCAACCACACTCCTTGGTAGTTCCCCGAAGGAGTTGAAAGCTTATGTCCACACACAAGCCTGCACACAGATGTTTACAGCAACTTTATTCATAATTGCCTAAACTTGGAAGCAACCAAGATGTTTTTTAGTAGGTGAGAGGATAAATAAATTGGTACAACCAAACAAGGGAACATTATTCAGCACTTAAATGAAATGAGCTACCAAGCCATGAAAAGACATGGAGGTAACTTAAATGCATATTACTAACTGAAATCTGAAAAGGTTACTGTACAATTCCAACAATATGACATTCTGGAAAAGGCAAAGTTATGGAGACAGTAAAAAGATCAATGGTTGCCATGGGTTAATGGGGAAGAAGAGATGAGTCGGTGGAGCATAGACAATTTTTAGGACAGCAAAAATGCTCTGTGTGATATTATAATGGTGGATACACGTCGTTATACACTTGTCTAAACCCATAGAAAGCATACCAGGAGTGAACCCTAATGTCAGCTATGAACTCCGGGTGATGGTGTGATCATTGTAACAAAGGTACCCTCTGCTGGGGGATGTTGATAATAGTGAAGTCTACACATGTGTGGAGGCAGGGAGTACATACGAACTATGTTTGCTCAATTTTGCTGTGAATCTAAAACTTCTTTTAAAAACAATAATTCTATTAAAAAAAAAACTTCTGAACTCTTGCCCAAGATTTACTGAGTGAGAATTCTTGCTGTGGGGCTCAAGGATCTTCCATTTTGAAGCAATCTATGATTCTGAGATCACTCTGGTTTAGAAATGACAGACCACAACTGCAATTGAAGCTGAATGTAATCAATAAGACACTATGAAAAGTTCAAGTAAAAATTGCATGAGGAAACTGGGGCATTATGAAAGAAAATGACTTAAGGAAAAGGAATCCCAAAAAATCTCATTATGCATTTTCATTCTTATCTGAGTCATGTTCAATATATGTATGCCAAGTGATGTCCTTCTCAAATTACCAACGTTGTTAAAAAAAAAAGATGATGCTGACACTATTGTTCCATGCATTATACTTCGAATAACAAGACTGTAGACTGTAAGCTTATTAAAGATGGGGCTCTTTTTGCTCAGTCACAATTCCCGGCCCATAGTGGGTGCTCACCATGCGTTTGTTGAATGAATAATTCTCCCTGTCCTCAAAGAATATCCTAGTCTGATTAGGACCTTCTGTCTGTGTTTTCCCTTTAATCTGTGTGTGTAGATATGATGCATCTTTCCCAGCGTTTACAACAATACACTGAAGCAGAGCTTTCGCCAGTTTGTTCCTTCCTTCCTTTCACTAATGATGGATTGCTTAAGGGCAGGGGCTCTATAATTTTCTCCATGTTTCTCAGTACTTAGGACAGTGCTTGGAACATAAAAGGAACTTAGGAAATGTCTATTAAATAAATAAATGATTTGAAAAGGCAAAACCTGCTTTTTATCCCCGAAAGCTGCAATTGATTTCCCACTGAGATGTATTTCTCCAGCTCCAAGCATGATCATATATTCTCGGGAGAGTGGAGGAAGGCGCATGCTGAAGACAAAAGATGAATGGTTGTCTGGGAGGGTACCCGAAGGAGCAGAAATTCACAAGCAGCGTCATCCTTAGATCAGACCCAGGAGCTCAAAGGACTCAGAAAATGAGGAAATGTCTCCAGAAAAGTAGACTCAATACATCAACAATTGTTATTTTCAACCGGTGCTTTTCGTCATGAAGGACAGCTGCTCCGCCAGATCAGAATATTTTTGGCCACCTCCAAGGTCATTGTACCTTCCCCGATCTGGCACTGAATGTAGAGTCTGGCAAGTCTGGCTTCTTAAAGTGGATTAGGCAGGCCCCACAGAGAGCCTCGTGTCCTGGCTACATTCCTGATTCTTAGACCTAAAAGCCCTGGTGATATGTTTCTGAGGACAGTCACCTATTTCGTCCTTCTTTGGATATAAATCCAGATTCCTGACCTTAGCCCTGTGCACTGTTTCATACACTGTCATTGCCCTTTCCTGCCCTCCTACAACCGTAAGCTTTTTGTCATCATCACCTTAAACATATTCTGGCAGGAAAGACATAAATTAACCTGTGCCCAAAGCATAGAATCAGAAACTGAGTTATAAACTGTCCAAAACAAAATGAATGAATGAATGAATGAATCTCTGTTTAAAAACACTTGAATTATATGAAATTTTATTTCTGTTTTCCCTAAGTTCCCTAAAATTGCTTAAATTCATAACCTTTCCATGTAAAATGGAGCTATATTCAAAGGCTATCTAAGCCTTTTCCAGAAAAGCAATGAGCTAATCATATAAACCAGATGAGGGAACTGCCCCATGCCGGCCCTTCTCCCCGTCCTAAAGTCTGTTTGAACTCCATGGGCTTTCTTATCTCAAATAAAGTAGTTGGATACCATGATTGTTCACACAGAGAATAAAGAAAGGGAGTAGTGACAGAAATTTGAAAGTTCATTTCCAAATCCAGTGTGAGAAAATGGGGGATGTTCTGAGATTTTGCCTAGAGAGAGGTGGACAGTAAAGAAATACTCTTACTTATTTTATCAGTTATTAAATTTTCATATTTCACTGTTTAATACACTGGCATGGTGGAATAGGGAAAGAAGTGAGAAAGTGGCCAGAGGGCTTGTGGCTTTGTGTTTGTTACTCTTCTATACTTTCTCTGTCCATCTTTTTCCATAAATGCACATGAACTCAGACATATGTATGTAAATACACACAGATATCTATATCTACCTAAGATGTACATATATTAATATAGCTCTGTGGAAACATAGCTATAGATATATATAACTATATCCATGGATATATAAATAATGTAGATATTAAATACAGGTATCTAGGTGAAGATAGATATTTCAAACTTATATAGCAATTTTTTGTAAGGGTGGAATAGGATATTTTGGTGGGCAAGCAACCTAGTAGGCTCTACAAGGAAAGCTATCTCGTCTGCTAATGTGATAACTTCATTGTTATTTTCAACAACTCCTAAAGTCTTTCATTTTGATCTTATTTTTAAGTGGAAGGGGTATGAATTTAAAAATGACTTTCGAAAGCTTCCTGAAACGTCTCCTTCAGAGACCCCACCCAGGGAAGCCGACCCTGCCTCCAGCCCAGGCCTGCGGGAGGCATTGGGAGAGGGTCCCTCTGCTCTCAGTGAGAGAAACCTCGAGAAACATTCCAGGCAAAGTCTAGGAAGACAAGAACCCTGGATTCCTCCTCTCATTGGACTTCCAGCTGCTCCATTTGAAAACATAATTCTCTGAGACCCTCCCAGTCTCCCCATTCTCTGCTTCCAACCAGAGTCGTGGGAAGTCAGAATTGGAAATGACCCTAGGGAGTATCGCCGTCTTTCCTGGAGGAGGGAAGCGGGAGTGGCAGAGACTTGCCCCGCATCCGTCAGGGACGGAGATGTCACCGTGGCGCTGGCCCAGAGCGCAGGCTCAGCCCCAGTTCCTCAGGCCCGCGGTCCCTTCGCACCCCCACACCTCCCTGCTCGAGAGGGCACTGTCTCCAGCACCCGCCCCAGCACCACTTTCCTCTGACGTCCGTCTCCCGAGCTCTGACGATCGCCCCCACCGGCCGTCCTTATAAAGAGGACTTTTGCCAATACTGGGATCGATCACCGCCTCGTCCCGCGCCCCGCGCCCTCCGCCGGCGCCCACACCTGTCAACTCTGCGCGCGCCCAGGTTCTTGAAGACACTGGGCGAGGAGCAGTCCAGAAACCGACCCCGGTCCCCTGGCCCTGCCCCTGCCCCGTCCCACCTCACCCTTGCGCGCGCGCACACACACACACACACACACACAAGCACACACACAAACACACACACACACTCTCTCTCGACGCTGCACCCTTGCAGCCCCCCCATCACCGCAGTTCCCAGGGACGGCGGTCCCTGGAGGAGCCCGACCCGGCGGAGCGCTTCGCTGCGCGGCCACCTCTCCAGGTAGGAGCAGAGCGGGCATCCCCGGCGCGTCGGGGCCCGCTCCCTCGGGGACGCGGCGGGCGCCGAGCTGGGCGTTTGTAGAGCCGAGGGACACGGCTCTTTTCCCTCTCCGTGGGGATGCGCGGGCGAGGGCACTGTCAGGCACTCATGGCTCTTGGGATGCTAGGGGCTGGAGAGTCTGGGCTCAAGAGGGACCAAGTCCTGGCGCAGGAAATGGGTAGTGGGGACCGGGAGGGACAGCGCGGGGCCGGGGAGCACTTGGCTGTGGCCAGAGAAAGAACTTTCCGGCTCAGTTGCTCGCAAAGGCAGAAGCCTTCCAGCCTGCCTGCGCTTCTTTTGCTTCCCCCTGAATCCAAGGGAGGCTGGTTCTTTTGCCCAAGGTCTCATTACCCACCTGCGTGAACAAATATCTGAGTTTCCCCCAGAAACTTGTGTCAACTGAGGTGCATGAAATAGCCGTGGTCACAAAGGGAAAAAATAACAGAGAACAAGAATTCCAAAAAGTGAAGGCATGAGAATTTGACATGTCACCTAAGTGTCTTGTTTTTAATCCCTTTGACTCTCTGTCATGTTTTTAGGCAATTCTGTATTTTTAAACCGTTTTCTTGTATATACCATTGGCGGCAGGGAATAAAAGGAACAAAGGACAGCAGATGGGGAACAAGAGTTGATCGAGAGGGTGGACCCTTTACACAGCATAACATCTTTATTTGCTGCAGTAACTTGAGCTACTGGCACTTGTTGAAAATTGGAATTGATGTGGTTTTGAAATAGATTTTCCTGAAGCTTTTTTCTCCCCGATATTTGCATGTCACGTTACTGTTGGAACTGCTCCCTGAAATTGTTTGAAAGGAGGGATAGAAGAATGAGTGAATGAATATGTTAGAATTCGCAGAGTGGCCTTTTATGATACACTTACATTACTGAATAATTCTAGATCAAATAGTAAGTCAGTTCCAAAAGCAAGCAGACATCCTCTTTGTAGGTGATTCCTTGGCCAACTTACTGAGTTAAGATACAAGATTAAATTTAAATTGAAAGAATTTATTAAATACAAAATGATCATGATTACATTTGTTAAACAGAATTTCTGATTTTTTTCTGTTTCAACTCAAAAGAATGTTAAATTGTGAAGTAGAAATATAATGATACGATGGGCACTTGTTGGCAACTACTACTTTAATATACAATTACAATGTCCTTTTTCTTTAAGTGGCACAGGATCTCTCAGGAGCCAGCAGGTTTGTTTGCGGCTGCCTGTGCATGCTTGGCTGCTTTATAATGCATCACTGTATTTTCTTCAGAAGTCTTAATGAAGTAGCCAGCTGTGAAAGAATCCAGACCCCCCAGATAAAGATGACATTCCATGTGGAAGGACTGATAGCTATCATCGTGTTCTACCTTCTGATATTGCTGGTTGGAATATGGGCTGCCTGGAGAACCAAAAACAGCAGCCGGGCGGAGGAGCGCAGCGAGGCCATAATAGTTGGCGGCCGGGACATTGGCCTGCTAGTGGGCGGATTCACCATGACAGGTAGGTTCCGACGCTGCCTGGTCCTCCTTGGCTTCTCAGAGTAACAAAGCAAGTGTTGCTTTTTGTCCTTTGGGGATTCTGTGTGTTCACTACTTACATATTTTTTAAATAATTTTACACCTATTTAAAACAAAAATAAAATGATTTCAACTCAGTGGTACTTGAACAAAATGATTTTATAATAAATCACTGGACAGAATATCAATGAGACAAATCTGAGCTCTCTAGGCTGTTTAGTGGGTGTAAACAGAATTCAAACAAAGAGGTGGCGGAAAGTACAAAAATCTCTTGTTCTTACAAGTTATGTCTCTGTTAATTAATGTGATAAAGTCAGTGTCTCATCGTGTTCATTAATACGGGCATGACGTTGCAACTTAAAGTTGTCTTAAACGATGAATGCCAAGGAACACTGGCTAGTGATGGCTTTAAACCTGAATAAATCAATTTGGAGGCAACACAATTCCAGATTGATTGATACCCTGTTCTGAAACCTAATTCTACCAGGTAATAAACTGATTTTCTCACAAGAAGACAATCACTTGTTAGAAATCCACAGCACTGAAAAAAGAGATTTCCAGGAAGCTTGATATAAAAGGAAAAAATCTAAAGTGTGTCCTAACAGAACAGAGTGTGGGCTGACCCCTGGGCCACCATCTGCAGCTCTCTCTCATTCACACCTTCTCTCTGCTGGGAGGGCCATACTCTTTCCTCATTTGCCCAGATGTGGTTCTGTTTAAGTGGTGACTTGTTTCTCCTTTATATTCTTCTTGGTTGTTGAAAATATTTCTGAAAAACAAGAATTTAAAATTATATGTTTAGTATTATTTGATACATATTCAGTAAAAACACACATTTTGTTTTAGCGTTTTCTTAGGTTTTCAAGCATTAGCAACATAACCAATTAACAGGAGCCCTGAGTGCCCATTTGAAAATGTCCTGTTGGAAATCATATCCAAATGATGCCCAACTTCAGTCCTGAAGTGTTGTTTAAAAAGGGTTCACTCTGGATATGAAATAGCTTACAAACCAGTCTGGAAGGACTGCATCCCTGTTTGGGCATCTGAAACCCACAATACTGTGGAACAATTTATGGACTATAGATTTTATTTTTCAGATATGTATGTTTTATGTTTGTTTAACTCTTCATGAACTGTACAGATTTCATTTGATCTTTGTGAAGATCTTCCGTTTGAATTTGAGCTCCATGAAAGGGCTCTGGGCTTAAGTGAAGACTAAGAGTTACATGGTTAACAAGGAGCAGAGCCAAGGCCTAACCAGTGGTCTCCTGGCAGCCACGCCCAGGTCCTCCACAGTGTGCACATGCGGCCCTCCGCTGGTTTCACTTTATTTCTGTATAAAAGTACACAGTTTGTAAAGAGGTCTCTTTTTTACCATCTCTCATTTTTTCTACATACATACATATACAGAACAAATTGTATTTTGCAAAATATTTTCTGTGATGCCTAATATACAAAATTACATAAATAAAAAGCATATAAAGAACAAGAGTCATCCATAAAGCTACCACCTGCAGATAAGTTTACTGAAATGTTGGTGTAGATTTTCCAATGTATTTTCTTCTTACCCACCTATTGATGAATAGTATGCACAACTTCATATCTTCATTTTCATTATAGCACAGACATTTCTTCCTTCCCCTAAAGATCCTGATGTGATACTGGGATCTGAAGTGGTTTAAAATATCGTAACTATATTTCCCTCAGAGAGATATAGAGAAAAAAATGAGAAGAAAAGCAAAATAAAACAACAAAAGTTGTTGATGTCACTCAAAAAGCTGTTGAAAAAATAAATACACTGTTGTACATCAGCATATTTTGTTCATGTAAATTATTATAGTTATTACTATAATTTAATATTATATTTATTATGCCCATAAAGGTAATATTTCAGAATTTGTTCTTTCATCATTTAGAGAGATTTTTCCAATCTAATAGGCTGTTAAAGTATTTAGAAAAAAGTTGAATTATAATATTTCCTATAAAGTGACATGATCTAGCTCAGTTTTTAAAGCTTTTTTTTAATCTCTTAGAACTGAAAAGAACCTTGGTCAATATCATAATTTATTTAAAATCTGAACAATATTATCTAAACCTTGTCAGATTCATTGATTGTATATATTTAATAAAGAATAAAGACTGAAAATAAAAATGCATATGGGTTAAAAGAGTTCTTGTTCTCATTCATGAATCTGACATGACATATACAAACATGCAGAGCAAATTCTGGTATAGAAGGAACTAGATTGATAAAAATAGAGGAATTTTAATCATAACAAGTAACCAAGTCTTCACCTTTATATTATAATATTTGCAATCATTCAGGCACCATGTTCAGTTTGGATGAGGAAGAGGAGACCTACACAATGAAAACTGATCCCTCGTAAGCTGTGTGCTTGTAAGACTGTCAGATCATTTATGCAATGAAATGTTGTGGTGTGTTGTTAGCAGTTCCGGTTGCCCAGCAGGAAGACAAAGTCTCAGATCCTGAACCTGTGAGAATTCGTCCTAGTTACACACTCAGTGGGGGGAAAAAAAACCCTTTTTAAAATTTCAGCGGGGCTTAGAATGAGAAAAACAAATAATAGCATTTGTTACTTATTAATACCCATGTGAAAGCTACTATGAAGATGAGATTGACTGATAAATACATATTTATCCACTTTAGGATTTTGTATATAAACTTCCCAGTTGAATATACTTAAAATTTCTGTGCAGGAAAGTCTTTTCACATGTTAACCTTTTAAAAATAGTATTAACCCCAAAACATTCTCTGTTCTTTGCTTTGTTTTTCAATTGAAAGCCAGATAAATTCTGGCACGAACACAACAGAAAAGCTTGTCTTTGATAATTTCATGTACATATTATTGGTTTTACTTACGTTCTAAGGGTAAGATTTTAGAGAATTTTTCAGTCACATTTTATTCCCAATGTGATGATACAGCCCAGAATTCAGTCTCACATCTGATAAGCTTCTTGCCAGCCTGTATCCCTCATAATTCTATTATACAGTTCTAAGTACACAAACTGTACTTAGGGATTATTTTAAATATTTTTATTGTACTCTTAAAATGATATAAACTGTGAAGATTTAAGTGTCCCAGTAATCCTAGTTTTTCAGCAAGAACCAAATATTATATTGTCTTCTTGGAGAAAATGGTAGATTTTATAGATCATTCTTGGCTCAAACTTGTTTAACAAAATGTGTTTTCTTTGGTCCCTTGACCTCCCTCGTTTAGCTATTATGCTACAGAAATTTTATTAAATAAATCTGGAGAAGACATATTTCTTATTATTCTCTGTGATATATCAAATATCTTACTAAAAGACCCAGATTAGAGCAAAGAATTGCAAGTGGGTATGCAGTGAACATTTTAAATTCTTCTGATCGCTAGTCTAGGCCCTACCTGGATGTTGAGGATTTAGGAAGACAGATGGAAAAGATAATTTAAACTCACTGTAGGACACCTTGGAGTAAAAATGTCATCTCTCTCTTCCCTTCACTCTCCTGGCAATTTAAAGTAGTAGTATCACTTAATTATGATGCTCCACAGATTTGCCAAGGTCCTATGTACCCAGAGTGTTTAAGACATGACTCTACTAAGGAAAAGCACACTCACGGACACACACACACACGCACCCACATACGTTACTCCCTGAGGAGAATAGTCACGATCACTGTGTAAAGATCAATACAATTAAAACAGAAGGCCTTGAAATAAAGACACTTGACCCCATGTTATGAAGGCTAGGGAAAAAGTTGTAGTATTATTGAGAATAGAAATAGTCATATATTATATTGTATATGGTTTCATTTATTTAAATAATATCATTTAAAATTGTTGATGACTAAATGGATTTAGAAAACATCTGGGGCCTCACTGTCCAATAAAAACATAATGTGAGCCACAAATGTAATGTTATATTTTTTACAAACTACTTTAAAAGACATGAAAAGAAATAGATGAATTAATGTAAATAATAGAATGTATTTAATTCAATACATTGAAAATTTTTTCATTTCACCGTGTAATCAACACAAAAAAATTATTGAGATATCTTACATTTATTTTCCATACTAAGTCTTTGAAATCCAGTGTGTATTTCACACTCATAGAACATCTCAATCGAGACTAGCCAAGTTTTGGGTGCTCAATAGACATGTGAGGCTAATGGCCACTGTGTTAGACCAAGCAGGTCTAGGGTATGACGGGTATGGCAGTGTCTTTCCCTCGCTTTTCATTTTATTTCAGCCACCTGGGTTGGAGGAGGATACATCAACGGGACAGCTGAAGCAGTGTACGTACCAGATTACGGTCTAGCGTGGGCTCAGGCACCAATTGGATATTCTCTTAGTCTGGTTTTAGGTAAGTGAAAGTTTAAACCTCAATGACCCACTCAGTGAACATTTAGAAAAGGAGTATAACAAGTGAAGTAACAAGTCAACCAATGTGAATGACTACTGTGTAAAAGCGTTACCATAAATCTCTAAGTAGCTGTTACAAGAAATTGGTAAATAGTGGAACAATAATGCGTAGATTATTTGATCTCTTGACTATGGAATATGTAAAGAAAGTCCCTTGATCTTATGACTTAATAGAACAGTGAATTTCTTAACAGAATATTTTTTCTTTCAAAAATAGTGTGAATATATCATTAAGAATGAATTCACTTAAATTGTATCAGAATTTCTTTTTGTAAGTCAAACTAATAAAAGGTCAAGAATATTATATCATAGAGTTCCTTTTTTTTTGCACTTAAAATACTTTTGTTGGATCTTGCCTTTATTCAAAATGTCTAAGTGCTATGCTGGATGTTACAAATAAATACGTCAAGGCATTTTAGTGAGTGCTGTGCTGGTCCATGTTTTTAATCTGCATGCCTCAGATATACCAATTCAATTGTCCTTTGGATGCATACAGTGATAAATGTCTTAAGAAATTTTTATTTGGCTGCTAAATATTTCTTGGTTCTGTACTCATAGGGTATTTCAGGTTGGTTCCTCAACATATACAAGTGTTCTAAAAAATCTGTTTCCCTTCAAAAATTATAGCATAGCGAAAGGTTGGCAAACACTCTTATATTATGCATTTTTTATTTTCTCATAAACACTTGTTTGATTTCTTTTAGGTGGGCTGTTTTTTGCAAAGCCTATGCGTTCCAAGGGATATGTGACTATGTTAGACCCATTTCAGCAGATCTACGGAAAACGCATGGGTGGGCTCTTATTTATTCCTGCACTAATGGGAGAAATGTTCTGGGCTGCAGCCATTTTCTCTGCCTTAGGTAAGGACCGATGAAATATTGTTCTAGCTTCATCTCTCTCGTTGACTGAACAGATACACAACTTTACAGGCCACCCCCAGCCTCCCTCACCTGGATTAATGCAACCATCTCCTTGCCCACTGCTCTGCCCTCTCCCTGTATTCTCTACATGGTAGCCAGACTCTTCCTTCTAAAATGCACATCTGATCATATCTCGTTCCTGCTTAAAACCTAACTTTTTAACTGGGCTCACAAGGTCTTTTATGACTTGGGCTATGGTTCTCTCCTCTCATCATTCCCCATGCCTCCTTCCTTCTTCCAGAACTGTAGTCCTCCTCTCTCACCTCTGACGCTTAGCAAGCCCAGGTGCCCTCTGCTTTGACTCATCTCCCCTCTTTCCTCTCCCACATCTGCCTAGATAACCAGGAGTATCCTTCAGATCTTCTAATAGATGTCACTTCCTTAGAGCAGTCATCCTGAACCTCCTGGGTGCCTTTCCTATGGGCTTCATTAGGCACCTGGAATTTTGTTCTCATTGGACTTCACTTTGTATGATTAAGTGTCTGTTTATCTATTTCATGCTCAACCTCAACCTTTCTAACCTCAAGAAAAGAATTATAAATTTCTAGAAAGCAGGACTTGTGTCTTGTTAACAGGTGTAATCCTATCACAAGTGAATGAATGATCTACAGCTACAAAGAAAACAAATGTTGCTTCTTTTTTCCTCAATGTAGTCCCATTATATTGTGAAGTATTGGGTTGTGGACATCTTTAGGGATCTAGAAAATGAACTTAGACTCTTTAGAGTCTGACTTACTAGCAAGATCAATTAATGCTAAGGACAATCTGTCCTTGGCCCTTGGCTTTTCCGCCCATTTATAAGTTTTAGAAAAAAGAGATTTCAGTGGGATGGTGGGAGATCTTTAGGCTCATTACTCTACTTTTTGGTCAAGGAGAAATCTAAACCATCCCACTGAGTGCTGAGTTCCTTCTTGAAAATCAACAGAGCTGGAGGTTTGGCAACCTTCCTCAGTGAGCTATATCAATGTTTTGCATCCAGGCACTCACACATGTTACTCTCCATCTCTTCTTACAAATGGAAATGAAGAGCTTAAGTGTACAGCCAGACTTTGGGCTGAACAAAAGTAAGATGAGATGAATTTCTTCTATGTTGTATGTTCCAGACTACAAACTTATCGTCTGGTTTAAGTATTATCAGACCTGGCCTCTGTAATATCAGATAATTTATATATACTACATTTTACTCCTTTTTCTCTCAAAATCCTATATAATCTTATATTATTTTCTTGGTCTCCAACTGTAAAACAAGGGAGTGACTTGTTGGAGAAAAGAAGAGAATTTCATAGTTATAAAATACTCTAATAACTCAGTGAAAAATGTTGCACTTTCCTGGTGCTAGATGGCAATACTCCACAATACTCCACTGCATTTATATCTTAATGAAATTATTTGTAAAAGTACACCTACCTTTCCACCTTGCTCTCATTAGCTAAGAAGCAATGGTGGCTTATATTGCTTTCAACACCAGAAAATTTTTGTTTTGAGAACAAACTGCCTGCTGAGATATCAAAAAAGGAGTAGGCTGAATATCTAATAGAATGCAAAATGTTCACTCTCACTGAATAAAGATCAATTTATGTAACAGAGCCCTGAAGGGAGAATAGAATTAATAAGCTAATATTTCTAAAGTATTTTGGAAATATAAAACATAATAGCTAAACTCTGAACTTTGTTGCAATAGTTATTTTTGTATATAATTCATGTGTGTCTATGCCTGTGTATGTCAATATATATGTAAAATATATTAATGCCTCTCTCTTTCTCTCTCCACATGCGCGTGTGCGCGCGCACACACACACACACAAATATGAGACAATATATATGAAGACATTACTGATATTGCTTGATATCCATGCTCTGGTAAAGAGAATGTGCGTATATTTTTAAATTAACACCTCCATTTTCTTCAGAAATAATAGTTGGACATAATTCAAAGTTAGTGTTTATTAGAAATAATTTGGGATACTTCAGAATAGACAAATATAAGCTCTATTACCACCCTACTGTGAATGTGTGTGGTTCACCACTGAAACACAGAAGAATTTTAAACTATCTTCTCTGTATAAATGGATAGCATCCTTACAACTTTTTAGAGAAATGTGTATTTACACTTCTAACAGCTCAAATTCAGTGAATTTTTTGTAACTTTATTTACAGTATATTTATGTTAATGACTACATCAGTACACTAATATTTCACAGCAGATCTGGAAGTAGAACTTTGATTTTACTTACTACAAATGATTTAATTATTTAGAAAATATTTTAGAGAAAAAATTTATCTCATATTAATAGTGACAGAAAAGTGGGTAACTTTTCTAAAACCACTGAGTTACAACCAAATGGCAGCATCTACTAGGACCCCCTACCTTTAGGATCCTAGTCCAGTGATCTTTCTTCTATAATATACAACCTCCCTACCTTTTGCAGGTGTAGGATTAATAGAAATTTCACTAATGTGTGGAAAATTAAGCAGGACTCAAAAGAGATAGTTGGACTTTGATAATTCATGGAATATACTTAGAAATGTTGTTATTAAAGGAGAGAAACTAGACTAAAAGAAGAATGGCAAAGAGTTGCAACTAAAGTTTCAAGATGAAGTAAATAATTTCTGGAAAAAAATAACTTGTCAAATATCTGTACAACAGATATTTGTACTACAATAACTCAGTCAGTTACCCAAAGTCATTTATAAATAATTGACCTCTTTCCTCTGTCTTCATCCTCTAACTCCTTACCATGTTTTTTCCTTTATTAATTGAAAGTAATTTAACTGTTACCAAAGCCAAAGCATTAAGAAAAAATTTCTTGATAAGTATTTTGTTGTGTTATCTTAGATCAAAATATCATTTACTGCTCTTTGTGATAAATTTTCATCACTGGTGGGTCGCATACACTACTAGTAGCATGCAACTGAGGAGTTGTAGTAATATGTAAGATTGCAACTGATAACACAAAAGCACAGATTTATTGCATGTGTGTTAGCATTCCTAGCATTGCCGTGTTTAAAAATATGAAATATGAATTATATAGCTCTCAAAAGCACTGGGAAGAGGCTTTGTAAAGCAAGAAGCAAATTCTGAACTGCCAGTCCAGGAACAACAGGGGTCCAATTGTCCAAACCATAATATTCTCACTGGAAATTTAGACACCAACAAGCACAGTGAACAAAGTCATAAAGTAAGAAAATATAAATTTGATTTCTAAGGCAGATTTAAAAATTTGTTGATGAAAATTCCTTAAAACTATAATGCTTAAATCTAGGGCTCTTCCATACGTTCGTGTCCTAGGAGTGAGCCTGGAATGTTCCACCACTTAAACAAAATAAAAGTGATCTTTTACAAAATAAGAGGAAAAGTTGCTAGATACAATTTACCAATTTTGTTATTTTCTCCTATAAATTTGTCTCAAACATTGGTACTTTATACCATCTGTCATACACAAAAGCTAGCATGGGTCAGAATTAATGCAAAATAGTAAGTGAATATTAATTGTAAAATGTAGAAATGGATGAATATGCTTATCAAAAAGGCTTGTATTTCTCATGGATGTGCATAAATATATTGCATATATTTAATTAAAGTTTCAGATAGTTGGTGGAATTATTATAAATTCTCACAGTCATTAAATTTATCATATTTCATGAAATTCTGTAATCATATCATGGATTTCAGGTGTCCCCATGTAAATAGGTTGGCAAAGCACTAATTTCAAAAAGAAAGAATATTTTTAAATATACATTTATATACACATAAATACACATATGTAAGTGCATATTCAATTTACTGAGATATAAAAATTTCAATATGAAAATTTGCTTTAGCTTTATCATCCAATACGATTCATGTGACATAGGAAAATATCTGCTGTCACTGAAAAAATATATTTTTCCACAGGAAGTGGAATCCAGTTGAGTACGTTGACCACAGCGTTCTCTTGTTTTTGCTTTCTTCCAGGAGCCACTATCAGTGTGATCATTAATGTCAATGTACACGCTTCTGTCATTGTCTCTGCACTCATCGCCACTCTGTACACCCTGGTAGGAGGTCTCTACTCTGTGGCCTACACGGATGTTGTTCAGCTCTTTTGCATTTTCGTAGGACTGGTAAGTGGGGCCATTCACAGATGTTCTTCTTCCTTCCTGTCTGAGCCAACTTACCGCTCTTCCTGGCTCTTCCCTTCAGCTAAACTCTCTATTCACATAGGATGTTAAAATTCAGAAGAAATTCTACTAAAATATTTTTTTAAATTCAGAAGAAATTCCTCTAGCTTCTGTTTGCCTAAAAAAGAAAATACAGATCTCTTAGTTCACAATACAAGGTTTTCTATCTTTATCTCTCCCACTTCTCTAATCCACCCTCAAGCCAGCAAACCCTGTCACTCAGCAGATGTGTGCGCACACATGTCCGTATGCCATATATTCTTTTGCTCTCTGTCTTGATCCACCTAGACCATCTCTCCCTGCAATTCCTTCTTCTTCCACCTATTGGAAGGCTCACCCTTGAATGCTTATTTCACTACCAATTTCTCAATCAAATCACTCCTTATTTTGGGGAATGGATATTTTTTCCTAATTCAAAGAAAAAGTAAAAAGTTTATAAATAAATATATACAATGTTCTCAAATTTAATGTTTTCTTCCCAGAGCATTGTGGTGATTGCTCCTATAGTTGGTATAATACAGTGCAATTAAGCACAGAAGTATATAATATGTTACTTTAACTTTTCTAAATCAGTACTGCATGGTGTCCTACAGAGAACGTGATTCCGGGTTCTTCTGTCTGAACAAGAGGAACTACTGAGCTATGACGTCTATGAAAAAACATAGGTGGCTAAACCTTACATACATTAGTTAAAAATAATAGCCTAACATTCTAATGTCACTCTTTGGTTACAGTGGATCAGTGTCCCTTTCGCACTGTCACATCCTGCAGTTACTGACATTGGGTTCACTGCAGTCCATGCCAAATACCAGGAGCCTTGGCTTGGAACCATTGAATCATTTGAAGTCTACACTTGGCTTGATAGTTTTCTGTTGTTGGTGAGTGATGCTTTTACCTGAGGAATGCAATCTAATTGTTCCTGAAATCAAATGCAATTTCAATAATTTAAAGTTTATATGTAAAATTCACCTACTGTCCATTTCCGAGTTGAATACCTTCTATTGAAAGGATGGAGGCACTTACTGACTGTGGTAGCTGACTAGTGAAATAAGGAATAATGTTCATGGGGTTATGTGTGGTGTTTTCTCATTTGTGTTGTACTGTAAGTTAAGGAGCACCATGCCCTACCCCGAGATACCTACCCTCATCTGAGAGTCAAGCCATCTAAAAATTTTAATTTGTATTTTGGACCAATTTCTTCTGAAATAAGTAACTCATTTAGTCTCTAATTACAAAGTAAGTAAATTAGGGGATGTCATAAGGCCTTATGTGCATGAGATAAGTTGGGAAAGGAGGTATCACTCAGGAAAGATGCCAGGAAAGAAACCCTGGGAAGTCAGAGGCAGCCTGAGACCATGAAGAACCTTGGGGGAAAGGGCACAGGCCGTAGATTGAGGGAAGGAAAAAACCCAAAAGAACCTACCAGATTCTATGATTTTGCTAATTAGAAGGGTTATACATACAAATAAAACACTGTATTTGATTTCAAAGGAAGAAATAGATTACTTTTTTTTAATTAAAATTAGGTGAAATTGTTTATTTTTGTTTCCTCTTTAGAGGGTTCGCAATATTGTGTGATTTAACTTTGTGTTTGTGCCACTTTGCTAAATTTTAGCACTAAAAGTAGAAGTATCTCTCCCAGGAAAGAAAACATAAAAACAAATATTTCCAGTGGCGAGTAGGAGAGCTTCTTCCCCAAGGATTGTTAAGAAATGCATTGGCTGAAATTTTTCTGGAATAATTTACTATTATGAATTGAATAGAGAAAGAGATTAAATATTGGATGTGCATATAATTATACCTGCATGGCAGGTATTTTTATGGTTATATGGAGTAGATGATGAGACTCAGACAAGTTAGGCAATTTGTTAATGATCACACCATTGTCTAAGCTAGAGATCGAAACAGAGAATCAAGACTCCAAAGTCCTTTCCTCTATACTCCACTTTAGTTCTCAGATTTACTGGCCTTCAAGATAAGGCATTGTACCCCATAATTGCTAAAGTTTCTTCCATCTTAAAAAATTGTATGACCAAGTCATGTTCATTATTCAAATCATAAAGTAAGTTGAAATGAAATAGTAGATGTTTAATGAATGAATGAGTAAACTGTAAAAATAAACCCTGAAATGTTTCGCCATTGGTGTCTCATCTTTCAGTTGTTTCTCAAGCATATCCTCCATGTAAAAAACCCACCAAGTCTTGCTAATGATAACATCAAAGTATCTCCCTGTCTCGCTCTGTACCAGCCCACTGTCCCTATATTGTCATTATATTTAAGCTGACAGCATTCCTCACCTGGCCTATTGTGCTAGCCCCTCACTGGTCTCCCCACCGGCAGCCCCCCATAACTCTCTGTTCCAAACCTATTTTCTACCTTGCCGTGGAAGCTTCTGTTTGTCAATGGAGGTCAGATTTTACCTTACTCAGAAACCTCTGATAATGTGATGATCTAAATGTCTAAGGGGATTGATATGTAAATTATGATATATCACTTCATATAGTCATTGATATTATTGATAAATATTCATTGGCATGGAAGATGTTAGTAATATATTGATTTACAGGCTGCAAAATAAAGGAAAAATTTTGGAAGAATATAGACTTGAGTCGTGGAATTAGGAATTTTAGAATTCCTTCTTTTAACTTTGTTTTTGTTCAACTTACTTAAACTAAAAGTATAGACAACAGTTCAACCATTTCTCCCACCACTCACCTCTGGCAACCACCAATCTGTTCCCTGTACCTGTACCTCATTTATTTTTAATTTTTAAATTTTTGTTTTTAGATTCCACATATAGGAGAGATCATATGGTATTTGTCTTTCTCTGTCTGACCTATTTCACCTAACAAGTGTGAGGTGGTATATCCTCAGGGAGATTTTGATTTGCATCTCCCTGATGATTTGTTATGTTGAGCATCTATGCATGTACCTGCTGGCCATCTGGATGCCTTCCTTGGAAAAACGTCTATTCAGATTCTCTGCCCATTTTTCAATTGAGTTGTTTGTTTTTGTGCTATTGAGTTATATGAGTTTATATATTTTGGATATTAACCCCTTATCAGATATATGATTTTCAATTATTTTCTCCCATTCAGTAGGTTGCCTTTTCATTCTTCTATGCTTTACTTTGCTGCGCAGAAGCTTTTTTGTTTGATGTAGTCCCACTTGTTTATTTTTGTTTTGGTTGCCTTTGCTTTTGGTATCAAATCCAAAAAATCATCCCCTGTGTTTTCTTCTAGGAGTTTTATGGTTTCAGGTCTTATATTCAAGTCTTTAATCCACTTTGAGTTAAGTTTTGTGTGTGGTGTAAGATGACAGTCCAGTCTCATTCTTTGTGTGTGGCTGTCCAGTTTTCCCAGTACCATTTATTGAAGAGATTGTCTTTTCCCCCTTGTGTATTCTTGGCTCCTTTGTCATAGATTAATTGACTATATACGCATGGGTTTATTTCTGGCCCCTCTATTCTGTTCCACTGATGTATGTGCCTATTTTTTATTCCATACCACATTGTTTTAAGTCCTATAGCTCTGTAATATAATTTGAAATCAGGGAGCATGATTCCTTCAGCTTTGTTCTTATTTCTCAAGATAGCTTTGCCTATTTGGGATCTGTTATGGCTCCATAGGTATTATAGGACTGTTTGTTCTATTTCTGTGAAAAATTCCTTCAGAATTTTGATAGGGATTACGTTGAATATGTAGATTGCTTTGGGTGGTATGGACATTTTAACAATATTAATTCTTACAATCCATAAGCACAGAATATTTTTCCATTTATTTGTTTCTTCTTCAGTTTTTTTCATGAATGTCTTACAGTTTTCAGCACGCAAGTCTTTCACTTCCTTGGTATTTCTGGGTATTTTATTCTTTTGTTGCAATTGTAAAGGGGATTTTTGTCTTCTTTTCTCTTTCTGATAGTTCATTATTAGTATATAGAAATGCAACAGATTTCTGCATATTGATTTTGCATCCTCCAACTTTACTGAATTTCTGTTTCAGAAAGTCGGTTTATTAGAATAATAAACAAAAAATCTGTTTATTAGTTCTAACAGATTTCTAACGAAGTCTTTAGGGTTTTCTATATATAATATCATGTCATTTTCAAATAGTGACAGTTTTAGTTCTTCCTTTCCAATTTGGTTGCCTTTTATTTATTTTTCTTGCCTAATTGCTCTTGCTGAGACTTCCAATACTATGTTGAATAAAAGTGGCAAGAGTGGGCATCCTTGTCTTGTTTCTGATCTCAAATGAAAAGCTTTCAGCTTTTCACATTGAGTATGATGTTAACAATAAGTTTATCATATATGGCCTTTATTATGTTGAGTTACATTCCCTCTCTACTCACTTTGTTGAGGGTTTTTATCATAAATGGATGTTAAATTTTGTCAGATGCTTTTTCTGCATCTGTTTAGATGATCATATGACTTTTAGTATTCATTTCGTTAATGTGGTGTATCATGTTGACTGATTTGTGGATGTTAAACCATCCTTGAATCTCTGGAATAAATCCCACTTGATTACAGTATATGATCCTTTTAATGTATTATTAAATCTGCTTTGCTAATGCTTTGTTGAGGATATTCTTTTAACTTTTTTTTTTTTTTTTTTACTTTTGAACGTGTGTGTTTTATATAAAAAGGAAATTATTCTAGAATCAGTATGTGACAAGCACTCTGCTTGGCAGAATTTAGAGCCCAGTTATAGAGAGAGGCAATTAAAGAAACAACTTAAATATATTGTGATATGGGAAGCTCATTCATCAGTTCACTTATTCACATGATATGCATGTATAGAACACTGACTCTATGCCAGTCAGAAGACTGTGGCAGTAATCCACAGGAAAGTGTTTTCTCAGCCTCCTCTCTCGTCACTCCCACACATCCTGACCTCTAATTATACCAAATATGGTGGGCTCATAGCTGCCTCATTGTTTTTTTCTTTCTTTTTCCTATTAGATTCTCTCCCTGCTACTCTCCTCTCTCTCCATCTCTAGCTGGTGACACCCTCTCAATGCCTGAGGACTGACTCAAATATCATTTCTGTAGATTTTCCTCATCACCATGCGGTTGTCCCTTCCTCTCAGCTTTTAACCTCCCTCCATCATCCCCAGATAATTGTTTCTCATTTTTCATCCCATGCATATAGCATGCAACAAATTATATTATAGTTCAATGTCTCCAAACTTTTTTGATTTATATCATCAGTAAGAATTTTAAGCATACCTCCAATGTAGATGTAGTTTTCAATTGCTTATATGTACTGTACTAACATGGTATGTAAATTATTTAAGAAAAACAACTATATAACATTTAGGTATGAGGTAAAAATGAGCATAAATAGAAATTCTAATGTTTTCTTTGATGCCCCAGTATAATGTCTTGAGTATTCCACAAACAAAATGCATTGATTCTCCCAGTTGACAGTTAGCTCCAGAGCAAGAACCATGCCTTATTCATCTTTGTGCTCTGACAACCATTGCATTGCCTGGCACATGACCAAAGTCCAGAAATATTCATTGAATTGTATTGATTCAGATTAAACTTCATACTTTCAGAATCTTAATTTTTTGTGACTATTTTATGATGGTTAGAACCCGCACATGGGAACAAATCAAAGGCTTCTGGTAGTTGTAATGCACTTAAAGTATGTAAATTAAGGAAAAGAAAAGATTGTCCTATGTAGCTATGTAAGAAAATAACTTGAGGAAATTCTGCACAATTAAAAGGGTGACAATAATATAGTGATAGCAGTTGAGATGAGTGGCATGTAAGACCATTTTTGTACTTTAGAGCTGTACTTATGACTATTCTGAATATTATTGTAATAAATTTCATTTTAAAAATACCTAATAGATGCTATTTGCCTCCAACTCATTCTGAGTCCCTATGATTCCCATGCAGATATTGGGTGGAATCCCATGGCAAGCCTATTTCCAGAGGGTTCTCTCTTCATCTTCAGCCACCTATGCTCAAGTGCTGTCCTTTCTGGCAGCTTTTGGGTGCCTGGTGATGGCTCTGCCAGCCATACTCATTGGGGCCATTGGTGCATCAACAGGTAAATATCTTACAGCTTCACTAATTGACCCACTTAAGCTTCATCGAAGTTACGAATTACCACCCAGCTGCCCTTCCACCCCTGCTTTTCCTCTTATCCCCACATAGTTCATTGTTTCTCATCGTGCTCACATATACACCTTTGTTATAGCATTCAACAAATAGTGTTATAGCTCAGTAGTCTCCAAACTTTTTTTGGTTGCTCACTCTTCCAATAAAATACCTGTGAGCACACACAGCCCCTCCAATGTTGGTATATTTATCAATCATGTATATGTAATCCTATCAGGAGTGGTTCTCAGCCAAGGTGCACGTTGACATCACCTGGAGAGGGAGAGGGACTCTTTAAAAAATATCTATTTCTGGCCTACACCACAGGGATTTTATTTTAATAATCTAAGATAGAACCAGAGACCAGTGCTTTCTCAAGTCCTCTTGCTGAGTCAAAGTGCAGCAGAGTTGAGAGCCGTCGGCTTAGAAGTTTACCTGCCATCATCATGACCACCTCAGGAGCACTTTGAACTTGAGATTTCTGCTTTACATTTTTGATAGTTTGTTAATTAAGAGTTTCTTTCTTGGAGAAATCAATCTATAAGTGTGTAGTTAAAGATAAACTAAGATACTAAGTCACTTAGGGAATAACTTACTCAAAATTGGTAAAAACAGCATTATGAAATGCGTATTTCCAAGTTAGGCTCTATGAAGAACATTTTTTAAATCGCACCCTTATTGTGATTGAACTTATTAATTGTTCCTGACCCTGTGTTCCCATGCTATACAGCTTTTAAGAGCATTTCATGAAAATACACCACATTAACCCAAATTCAAGGAGGCTAGGTAGAGATGATTACAACAGATTAGAGAAGTTCACCTCTCACTCCGTTGTATTTTGTAAAGATATTCCAGGATGATGCTCACCTGGCTAATTTGACTTTCAATTAGTAGAGCTATTCATTGGGTTACTTAATTTTTAAAAGAGTAGTCATGGTTCATAGCATACATTCTCTATTCCAGTTGTTCATCCGTGACATAAGCACTTAAAAAGGTGGCTGACAAAGGTGATTGTGTGCCTTTAAATAAAAGATAGAATTTATGTCACAGTCAAAAAACAGATCTGGTTTCAGTAATGTTTCTGTGTGTGTGTGTGTTGTAGGACAAGAGACTTAAAAAACAATTTTTTTTAGATCAGGTACACATTCTTGGTCAATATTTCTGCTAACACAACATCTCAGTTACTGCTGTAAAATTGGCTACATCAAAGCGTGGCTTTGAACAATTGTAACGGAAAATGAGGGAAGAAAAAAATGGTAGGATCTGAGGAAAACCACTCTTATTTGGTCTTGTAATCATGGCATTAAACAAGAAACTACAGTAATGTACATTTAAAGGTTCCATTGTCTTCTTTAGCACGTGTTCGCATAACTAAAAGGTGAAGAAGCTATGCATTCAAAGATAAGCTTATGTTTCACATCTTTTTACCACAGAGTCCAAAAATGTCCTCAAACTTTCAGCCCCATACCTGCACTTTTTATTCAATTCAAAGGGACTATCCTTTATGTATCATGCTTCCCATTTCCAGTAAGTGGAATTTGATGCAAGAAGGAATTTAGTTGGGAGAAAAACAATGATGAGACAGCTACAAAACCAAGTTTATGTACAGGAAGAGGTTGGGTAAGATTAGCCCCACTACTGTCTTTATCCATTTATACATGTACAATTGAGGACTAAGGAATGAAAGAGTAAGTGTCCTCTCACATCTCCAAATGGTTGGAGAAATACTCTGTGCTTCAGTTTAAGAACGTTTCTTTTCTATAATTCTTCACCACTTTCTATGTAATGCCACCATTCCAGAAGAGAAATATATGTGTGTATATCTCACCAGCACATTCTGTGCAGGTCCTGTAAATAAGACTAAATGCAACCAAAAACCATTAGAACTCAGAACATATAAGACAATTTCACTTGACCACTACATGGACTTCCCATCTAATTGGACTAATTCGTACATTCTGAATTCATTTTAAAAACTACCTAATAGGATGATCCCCAGAAAGATGAAGAACGTATGTCTCCTTGGTTGTTGTTTTGTTGTTTCTATTCAACAGACTGGAACCAGACTGCATATGGGATTCCAGATCCAAAGAGTAATGAGGAAGCAGACATGATTTTACCACTTGTTCTGCAGTATCTCTGCCCTGTATACATCTCTTACTTTGGGCTTGGGGCAGTTTCTGCTGCTGTTATGTCATCAGCAGATTCTTCTATCTTGTCAGCAAGTTCAATGTTTGCTCGGAACATCTACCAGCTTTCATTCAGACAAAACGTAAGAACACATTTTTTAAAAATGTATCATTATTGTTATCGTTGTTGCCATCATTATATTTATTGTGTATGTAATATTATTTACTGATTAATATTCTATATTAAAATCTGACCCTACTTTGATTAAGCACACAAGGTTAAATAATGATGAATTTTATTTATGCTATAAATAAATGTTTTTAATGCATGTTATTGTTCATGCCAATACTGAAGGGAAAAAAATCAATATAACTATTTCCCAAGAGGTACAGTCATATTGCTATAATTTAAGCCTCTTGTCTTTCTAATGAAAGAGTAATGAAACTCACAATATCTTAGAAAAACTTTGAGTTTAATTAAATACGATAAGAAACTTGAGAACTCTAGTGTAAGCAGAACATGGTGAGTAAGTTGTTTCGTGGGTATTTGTGTAACATCTATGCCTCTGCTTGCTTGAACTCCCAAGTCCAGTTTTGTCAGAAAATAGGCTCTCAATTTGATTTTCCTTATTGAATCAAGTGGGTGCAGAGCAGCATGCTGCTGTGGTCGCTGAGGAGCCAATAGCCTTGACTAAAGCTTTGCCTTACTCTAGGTTTTCCAGGTCATAGGTAACAAAATGGTTCAACTTTTGTTTTAAGGTGTTTGGCCCTAAAGATGGGAGGGCTCCTATGAAGAGAGGCAGCAAGGAGGAGCTATGGCTCCTTACTGCCACATAACAACTATTCCTTAAAATGTAAAGTGAGCAAAATTCAGCCTTGCATTATTACTCCTCTATGACAAGACGTTAGCTCATCTCACCACTCCTCCTGCACATTCAGGGGAAGGCACAGGTGGTCTGTTCTTCCTGCACATGGTTCAGAGAATCCTCTCCCAAAGGCCTCCCCGGGAAGCCACCTAAATTGCTTGCTTCTGATGCTGTGGTTTAGGTCAGCTTTTCCCATAGGTTGAGCCATTTGAACTAGGGAAATTCTCTAGAACAGCTTTGAAGCACCAAAATGCATCTCATTCTTCACCTAAATGAGCCAACACATTGTGTAAGAAGCTGACACTGTGGCAATTTCTTGCAGGCATCAGACAAGGAAATCGTTTGGGTGATGCGAATCACAGTATTTGTGTTTGGAGCTTCTGCAACTGCCATGGCCTTGCTAACAAAGACTGTGTATGGGCTCTGGTACCTAAGTTCAGACCTCGTTTACATCATCATCTTCCCACAGCTGCTCTGTGTGCTCTTCATCAAGGGAACCAACACATATGGGGCCGTGGCAGGCTATATTTCTGGCCTTTTTCTGAGAATAACTGGTGGGGAGCCATACCTGTACCTGCAGCCCTTGATCTTTTACCCTGGTTATTACTCTGATAAGAATGGTATCTATAATCAGAGATTCCCGTTTAAGACCCTTGCCATGGTTACTGCATTCTTAACCAACATTTGCATCTCGTATCTAGCCAAATACCTATTTGAAAGTGGAACCTTGCCACCAAAATTAGATGTATTTGATGCTGTTGTTGCAAGGCACAGTGAAGAAAACATGGATAAGACGATTCTGGTCAAAAATGAAAATATTAAACTAGATGAACTTGCACCTGTGAAGCCTCGACAGAGCATAACTCTCAGTTCGACTTTCACCAATAAAGAGGCCTTCCTTGACATTGATTCCAGTCCAGAAGGGTCTGGGACGGAAGATAATTTATAATGACCCCATCTAAATAAAATACTGCTCTCTCAAACAGCACGATAGCAGGCTAGTCCTGGAAGGATGGTTTGCAGCATATAAAACATGTTTAAAAAACCAAAAATGTTCAGGAGGACAAAAATGCCTATAAAAGTGCAACTGCACAAATACAAGCCAAGCTAAAGGAGGCACCTGTGAAAGCAACAGTTCTCTTCCTCATTGGTGTTTCTCATCCTCATTTGATTTTAACTCTAGATAGTTTTAACTATTCCAAAATGAATAAAGCCCCACTCAAAGAACAGCGGGCCAAGCAGAGCGTTTATCTTTATTGTGAAAGAAGGAAGTAGATGTGAAAGAGCTAAGGAGATTGGATAGTCTTGACCAGATCTTGTTTGCTAGTGCACTGGTGAATCCAATTTAATTCTCACACTGAGGCTGTGAGAATAACTCACCGTCACACCAAGGAATGGTGCAATGAATTAACCAGCTGATTTTCTTCTTTTGTGTTCTTAATTAAAACATTTGCTGAACATGCAATTTGTTTTCTTTTAGTAGTGGCATGTATTATCCTGAGCACAGGCAAAGCTAACACACAAAATATTGTATAGTGGCATTTTTTATGTCCAGGTGATAGGGAAATAGAATCCATCTTTGCAGAGGAGCCCTGGGCTCCTTTGAGTGTGTCTACAACTACCAGATGCATTGAGAAGAGTACCTGGAGCATGGACAGCGTGATTATTAGACAACTTTAAAGCAATAACTCAAGAAGCCCATTAAGCAGAAAGTTACAGGAAGAATGGTAGATTTTTATCCTCATCTAAAATGTATAAAGTCTTGCTTCATGCTAAAAGAAGTAATGTCTTGGCTTACTCTCTAAATTATTATTGCAAGTGAAAATGAGCCATGTTTAGGGTGAGGTAGCTACCCAGCACCAATTAAGATTAATGAGAGACAAGCCACGCCTCCCCATGGTAGTAAAACCAGGAAAACAAAACCCACTTAATTTTGGATATTCATTAGTGAGGATGATTTAGTGTCAAGCAAGATATTCTGTGACGCTTTTTCACATAAGCCGAACTTAGGCACTGGACAAATCATTACAAAAAGTATGTAGTGAAATTTAACATGCAGGAGAAATCAGAAAGAAAAAATAAGTCCTAAAAGGAAGAAGCCATTGATTTTTACTTTTGATGTCTACATAACTTTCATGAGGTTGACCATTAAACATTATTTTGCTTCTTTTCTGGAGTTAAAATATATGTGTGTGTGTGTGTATATATATATACACACATGTAACGGTTTGTATTCATTCATGAATTATAAATGCTTTTCCACCAGTCACTTTATAGATATACCTGGAGCTGTGTCTACAAAAGCAGACAGAACTGATAAGCTGAAAAAGTATCGGAGCTTTTGATCCAATAAAAAAAAGCAGCCTGAATTATTCAAACTAAGTCACTTTTTTCCAAAAATATTTCTTTTTTGTGATTCATACACAAAGTGAAGTTAACTCAGTGTTTGACATTAAGTATAAAAGTGTTTGGTAAGCTAGAATTCCTTTTCTTAAAAGTTGTAATTGTCTAAAAGCATCAAATAATACACCGTTTTTGTTATTAAACATGAATTAAAGTAACAGGGTAATTTTTAAAATATGAAATTAAATAATTTTACATGTTGTAGTGTCCCTTATTTTTAATGCTTTATCAAAACTTGATGGTGAATATGACATTGCATTCAGAATCTTTAAGGAACATCATCTATGTCCAAATGAGAAGAGAACTCTTTGTACTCATCTATTTGCTCAGAATCTTTTCTATGCCAGTACCCTATGGAGTACTTGGAAGGAGCACATTTTGGGAACTAGTAAGTGTGAGAATCTCAAGATTCTTGGAAACGGATTGAGAGAAGAACCAGGGGCAGGAAACACAAGAAGAAAAACTACAGAGATGGAAATATTTGACACGTAAAAGTAATTACTTGATGGGAGTCTACAGTTCCTGGCAAACACGATTCTTCAGCTGTGCCATGCTGTCCAGCACACTGTCTGAATGATTATTTTTACCCACTCCATCACTGTAAGTTTTTGTTTCAATCTATTTAGGCACGTGCTTCCATAGAAATACATCAGCTGTAATTCAATAGAGTACAACAGGGAAGTCTAATCTTCTTACAGACATTATATTTTACAATTTTGTTGTGCAACAATTGTCCAAACAGATCATATTTAAATCCAGTGAAAAAGAATAAATACTGGTAGTGAAAATTTCTTCCATCCCATTCATTTTATAATAATAGAAAGATAAAGGGGAAAAAATTTTAGTCTCCAAAATGTTAAAAACTAGATAAATTAAATAAGCTAACAAATAATGTTCTATTTTTATTTATCTCATTATTTCCTACCTACTCTTAAATATATAAAAAACTAGTTCAGTATAAAATCCACTAATAAATGTGCTAAATATTAGCAAGTTTTTTTTTAAGGTTGAAAATAGTTGAAAATAAGAAGGAATGAAAAAACAATCACAGGGTCTTTATTTAGGCACATTCACACACAAATTGCCCCCCAATTTCCAAGGAAGGAATGAAGTGGTGAAATGTAGGGGACGACGCTTTGTGCTCGTCCCTTCTCTGTTTTGATGTCAGAGGTGATGCAGACAGCTTTGTATTCTTCCGGCTTTGCTCAGCAAACCTAATTCCAAAAGCCCATTCTCAATGGACAGAAAATGACAGAAACGTTTTAGATACTGGCTATATTAACCTTTGGAGGCAATACCTGTGGATAAAGCATTAGAATAAAACATTTCATTTTCATACTTTTACAATAATTGTAACATGTTTGTCAGATAATGTTAGTATATTCACACGTACTTTTTCAAAACATCAAGCTTGGAGCTGGACTGTCAGTAACGAGCACTCACTGTCAAAGTCCAGCTTTGCTGCTACACTTACAAGTGATGAATTTTGTGTGAATATCAGATGAATGTAAGCCTGAAACAAGCGAATCTAGTGCAATGGCTATTAGCTTTTTTATTTGGAAATAATGAATTAGCATTGTATTTTAAACATAATCATGACTTTTTCTTTTTTAGCCTTCAAGAAAATTACTCTGGAATAGTGTATAATTAATTGTAAGTTTGCTACTCAACAGACAGATACATATAATGGTTCTAAACATATATTTTTGTCTGTCAAAATATTATATAAATTATGATCAAAATAAGTAGATTTGCAACTATACATGTAAATGTTATAAATGTAATGGTATTGTATTAAATTGTGCTGGTACAATTCAGGATATCATTGTCTGGGTTTGGCTTTTGGGGGCCCTCTCTTAAAGCAAATATAAATGGTGCTTCAAGACAGGCATTCAATGGAATTGAAATAAACCATCTCAATTCCATTGAACATATGCAAATGTCAAATGGAAATGTTTCACCTCGCATAAATCTTGGGGCAACATATTGTATCATATCTTTAAAAAGATGTAAATTATTTTCCCTGGAAAAGAAGTTCTACCACTGCACACAGGCCTTTCTTTGAATCAAAGAAATAAATAGACATCATGTATATTCCATTGATATCAAGAAGATCTGCATCTTAAAAACCATATAGCTGTCTGATAATTCTTGATTTAGGATATACAACCAATCACTAAGTGAGAAACTTGTTCTTATTGTGCTCTAAGTATAGGCTTCATATCTCTGACCTAACTCTTTCAAGGTGTCTTTAAAAGTGTAATTATATAGACTCTCAGAAGAACTTTGGCCTTTTACACCTTAATGATAAGCCTTTGGATGTGTATATGAAGTAGGGGTCTCGAATGAGCTTAATAATGAATGAAGCAAAGAATAAGTATTATGGCAAGAAATATCACAGTACTTTGCCATTACGGACACGCTTTTAAAGAGCATGTATTTTTGCATTATCACAAATTTACAGTATGGAAGAAATTATTAGGAGCTAGAAAACAGAATGTATAGAATATGATGTTGCAAACTGTGTATGTTTTCTTCATTTTTAACCATTGTGTTTAGAGATTTTAATTTGATCATTAGCATTCTTCTAAGACAGATATTCTGAGAGACATCCAGGGAACTAAAGGATGATGATAAATGATGGTTTTTTAAAAAGGTTTTTATATGAACCCCTAAAGAAGAGCTCCAAAATAGTAAAAGCAGCCATCTCATGTTATTTAAATTCTCTAAAATCGAAGAGTTTGTGATAATTTTGCTATGATTTTTAGATGGAAAACTACGGTTACCTGTTTAAAAGAAGCACTGCATTATGTTTTTTGAAGCCAAAATGCTGTGTTGATTTATTAATTTTTGAATTAGAATCAGTTAAAACCATAAACCAGATGGGACTAAAGGCTTATCGATAGAGTTAGAGTAGTGGGTATTAATGGAAGGAATATTTGAAAACAGTCCCTTTGTAGTGCTACACAATGCAGCTGACATGAGCCACAACACACGAATGGCAGGAATCGGACTCGCTGGCTTCTGGCCTGAGAATGGATGTAGCTGGGAGAATTGTTGGAACTCCCTGGGTTTCTGCTTTATCTACGTAAGGCTTCTGAGTTAGATCATCTTTAAGGTCTCTTATATCTCTAAGTTTTTATTACATCCTTACTTGGAAACCTATTTAGGGAATTGTAGCATAATTTGGCAGACAACAGGTAAGAGTGTGAATGTGGAGTAAGACACATATGCCTTCATATAGCAGCTCTGCCTCAGATTGAGGGTCTCAACAGTCATATGATCTTAGCCAAGTTTCCCAAGTGAGGATTGTATTTGCCTGTTATTGGGCTTAAATTATATGATACATAAAAGGCTACATGATAGAACACACTTAAAAAAGTGTGAAGATCTAGAAATAGAAATAGAGCTCTCCAACTGGAAAAATCGTGACAAGACATATCGAACTATTTGGGAACTCATTTTGACTTTGAATCTTGTCATATTCAGCCAGTTTTAAGCATGGATCCTAAATTAAGGATGAAGAAAGAAGAGCCATGTTTTAAAGTACGTTGAGCTATAGGTCATATTTGCATTAGTTGAGTTTTCAAAAACCTAATTTAACAGAATTTTAGTGCTTCTCTGCATGTATCTAAGTTGTGGTCCATGTATGAACCTGGGCTTAAGTACAAGTGCCTGAGTCTGTGGGAAAGTTTACCTCATTATTCATATTGGAATTTTCAGGCAGTGCCATCTTCCAAGAGTAGCTGGTGCTGTGAGGAAAGAATAGAAAGTCTACGGGGTCGGTTTGTAGGTTTGGGAAAGCTGGTGAAAATTTTCCTTGCTTGCTTTGTGCATTTCTGATATTCCATTAAAAGACATCACATGATTCAAACAATTCTTTAAAAGGTAACAAAGATGATGGGAGATTGAAAACGCAAATTTTGTCATTTGAAAACCAATCAAAGCTGGACTTCAAAGCCCATAAATGTGTATGTTGGGGTGGGAGTGAGAAACAAAGTGCTGATGGATACCAATAGAAATTAACATGAAATTTGAAAACATCAAAGTCAAGAAAGTATTGCAAACCATATTACTCTATATAGGTTAAAATGTTCCAGACTTGGATGGCCATGGGCATAAAATATAAGCTATGACTTAAGTGCAGGGAGCAATCTGGGTCGAACCCACGCAGAGCAATCTCAGTCCCAACCACTTTTATTTGGTTCACAGAGCTTGAATAGACTCAATGGATGCCGCATGATCTATTTTCTGTTAATCAACAGTAAGTCAAAATTTAGCCTTCAGAAAAAGCTAACCTACATAGGCTTCCATTTTGTAACAACTTCCTTTTCATTTCTTTTTAGTTTTTATAGTAAAATTTTTACTAAATAAAACTACACCTAGTAATATTTCCCACATTTCATTTTTCAGAGAGAATCATAAAGCTCCAGAAAACCAGTTTATACTAGAGCTTTTAAGACATAATATAAAATGTAAACATCTGGCTATGGCCTCATACATATTTGATTCAGTCTTCTATTCTTTCTACATCTATTATCTACAAAGCAATTCTAAGATCACTGTTATTTAGAAAGACAGCTTAAAAAACTTTAAAATTAATTTTGGTTCACTCTACCTTCTAATTTAAGAAAATACTTGAGACTTTTAACAATGAAGTCTGAAGCAAAAGCAAGTTTTCAACATTCGTGTCGATGACCCCTTAGGGATTCTACTTTCTTACCTTCACCATCTCTGAACCAAGGAGTTAGGAGAAGTTACCTTCATTCCTGGTTTTGCTCCTGTTTGATCTTGGATAAGCTAATCAACCTTTCTTAGTCCCAAGTCATATTCTGTAAATGATGATCTTCAAGGCATCTCTCTGGCTTGGAATTTACCAATGACATGAGTCTACATCTCCCCTCCATATCAGTCCGGACATACTTCATTGCTCATTCTGGAACTATTCAAATTATTGAGTTTCTAAAGATCTCAAGTTTAACAATTGCAATTGTTGTGAACTGAAGCATTACGGGAGTGGTAAGAGAAAATTGCGGGGATGGTTCTGTTCTGTATCTTGATTTTGGCGGTGGTTACACAAATCCACACATCTGATACAACTGTGTAGAACAATGGGGAAACAAAACCTTCCTGGCTATCTCAGTGTTCCTCTGTGAGCCCAAGATTTCTGAAATTCTAAATACCATGAGAGTTAGCTCTGTAGCCATTTTTCTAGTTAATTGATCTGATCCAAAAGTGGAATAAAACTTCTGTTAAACCAAATGACTATAGCCTAGAGTGGGGCTCGAGACTACATCTGAGGGTGTTAGGAAGACTGGAGTGTTTTTTTCACTATGTATTTACATTGCAGAAGAATGAAACCCAGAAGTTGGAGAAGTCTCTAGGTCCTAACAGCCAAAACACATGGGACCATCTGAGTTTTGAAGAGATTTTACTTAAATACCAACAAGATTGGAATTAGGACCCATTCCCATTATCCTTCCCAGGAGACTCAAGAAGTAAGGGGGACAGTGGCCTCCTTTACCTCCATAAGCAAAGAAAAATCATTTTTCTTCATCTCTCATCTATGGAGTACCAGCCCTGACAGTCTAGTGTTTAAGATTTGGCACTCTCACTGCCATAGCCCAGGTTAATTTCCAGTCAGGGAACCACACCACTGGCCTGTAGGTTGTGATAGGGTGGCAGCTGTGTGTTGCTGTCATGCTGAAAGCTGGGCTACCAGTATTTCAAATACCGACAGGGTCACCTAGGGTGAACAAGTTTCAGAGGAGCTTCCAGACTAAGACAGACTAGGAAGAAGGACCTGGTCATTCACTTTCAAAAAAAGTTGGCCATGAAAACCCTAGGAATATCAGTGAGGCATTGTCTGATATAGTGCCAGAAGGTGAAGGGATGGTGCAAAAGACCAGGCAGGGTTCTGCTCTGCTGTCCACAGTTTTGCTAGGAGTTGATATTGACTTGACAACACTAACAAAAACATCTCTGGGGTGTCCGATGCCCACAAACACCATGTGCCATCAACCATCCCCATACCTGTCTGTGAGTCAAGTCCCCTTAATGACCACCTAATCTTGTTGCTTATTGCAACAATTGTGTCTTCTGCTTTCTGATAGTTGAGCCCCTCCACTTGGACTCTATTGTTTCAGGGTACTATCTTTTATTATCCTAACCGCTGTCAGTGAGCCCCTACTACCAGCCTCCTTGGCCTACAAAGGAAAGCACCACTGAATTTCCAGCACTATTTAGTATATCCACTCCAGTAAGCCCACTTTCAAGAATGTTTTAATCCCTTCCTCCATTGTCTAACATGGCAATTCTGGTATTTCAACTCCATTGAGCTAGGCCAAAACTTTGTTATGTTTCTAGGAGTCATCCTACTGGTGAGTTCATACCACCTCCAGGATCTTTTGCCAGGGTATAAAATCCTATATCTCAGATGAGTGCTCCCATCAGAAAGCTTTTGCTCTGGAAGAGGCACTAATGACCAAGTATACAAGATACCAGCCAGCTCTTGTCATCAGCCTCTCAAGTGCTGACATGGTGAGCACATGAATGAAGTGACCATGGTGGCAGAGATAGAAGCTATAGATGGGACTGTGAACACAAGCTGCTTCTTACCAAAGCTGATCTAGATACTACTAGTCCAAGTGTCTAGTCTGCCAGAAACAGAGAGCAACATTGAGTTCTGATACAGCATCATTCCTTGAGCAAACTAACAGGCCATGTGGTGGCAAGTTGATTCAGTTGGGCTTCTTTCACTCTGGCAGAGCAAGCAATTAGTTGTAGTAAGAATAGCCTATTTATATATTCTGAGTAAGTGTTGGCTTTCTCGGCAGTACCACTATCTAAGGGTTTATAGTGTTGCTTCGCCTACACTGGAACCCCAATAACCTTACACTAAACCAAGGGACTTTCTTTACAGCAAGGGAGGTGTGGGAGTTGGCTCATGACCATGGGATTCTTTGGTCATATTCTATAACATCTGACCCAGAAGCTGCCTGCCTGTCAGAGAGTGGAACTAGCCTGCATAAGGTACAGCTGAAGTACTGCTTCAGAGGAAACACTTTATGGTAATAGAGTGCCATCCCATGGGATGCAGCATATACCTTGAAACAAAGACCTTTATATGATATTGTGTCCAGTATGGAAAATAAATGAGTCTGGGAACCAGGGGTGGGGAAGCAGGACTGCTTCTACCAACCATTACTCCTATTGACCTAATGGGGAATTTGTGCTGCCCATCCCTACAGCTCAGAGCTCTGCATAGTTGTAAATCCTGATTCCCAAAGGGGAAACACTTCTGCCAATGGAAACAGCAAGATTCCCATTGAATTAAAACCACAGCTGTCACCTGGGCACTTTGAGCTCCTTTTATCAAGGCACTATCAAGCATGAAGAGAAATCACCATCGTAATGGAGATATTGATCCTAATCATCAGAAAGAACTAGATCTGCTGTTACCCAATGAGAGCAGGGAGGAATACATTTGACATTCCAGTGATTACTTTGGTGCCTTTTGGCACTCCCTTGCTTACTTGTAGAATAAATGGACAAGTGCAGCAAATTGGCCTGAAAAGGGGCATGGTGGCCCACCCCTATACCCCTCAGGGATAAGGTTTGCATAAATCGCCAAGTTTGCCACCAAAACCAGCAGACTTACCAGCTGAGAGTGAAGGGAATTTAGAATGGCTATCAGAGAAGAGACAAGCAGACAAGAAGCATTACTTGTGGCCCTGATAACAGGCACAGTGGTGGAGGCTGCAGTTTATACCATTTGCTTTCCTCTTCCAAGTTTCTCCCAGGAAAAAGAGACCCACTGGAATCCTGAAAGAGTCACTTAAAACTTCTGTATCCCTAAGTAATGCTTGCCTACTCACTTCTTCCAAGTGGTCGTTCAGTCCA